GCTAGGAAAACCCCAGATTGGGTGCTTGCGTCCTATCCTCTACCCAGAACTGAAATGCTGAGAACCTGGGGCTCATATTATTTCAGTGAAGTTGAGGAGGAGGGACGCAGTTTTCCGTGCTGCTGGATGACTGGGAAAGATGAATCTATTCTTTTTGGATCTGGAGAGAATCTGAAGGTATTTTAATTTCATCTTAAGCTGGAATCTGTGTTCCATTTAATTTTGTTGTTTTTGCAGATATCTTTCCCTGCAAAGTTGGACTACGCCGGGTCGGATCATCTAGAGATTATTTGGAATTCAACAAGCGTTTACCTGAATGAAAAGATACGACCTCGTCCTCAGCGTGCCGTTACTTGCGTTTCAGTTCATTCTTCAGTTCCTGTAGCAATCGCAACGAAAACTGATCAAATATTCGTTCTACAGCCGCGGAAATTCAGAATTTGAGATTTTCGTGGAGAAATCCTTCCGGAGTTTTCATTTTATTTCGTTTCTCCTTTGATATACTTGGTTTGAGCTATCATTGACGGCACAACGTTATGAACTCGTGTGAAATTTCGTGTTTTGATGAGATTTGGTTATGTTTCAAGCGCGATTCTGGAATTACAAAACCATTCACATGTTTTAAAAATATTTGATTCTGAAAACTTGATATTTTGCGAAAAACTGCTTTGTCGCTATTGATTCTGTTTCAGGACGAAAATGAGTGAAAGGGGGAACTTCGGGGCAGTGAACAATATTTTAGAAAGCGCAGATTCTGCGTGTCCACAAATGCATTTCTCATTGTTCAAAACAGTATGAGGGATGCGATGTAGAAGGTTTTACTTATGAAGATGTGAAATGAATCGAATTGATCACGAGAAGCAGGATCAAATCATAGTATTTAGTATGTGCTCTGACGAATAATTCGCTCGGATAAATATGATTGCCGCAGCAATTAATAAATGTGGGTTAGAGAGCCTACTGAGTAGACGAACCTGTTTAAAGTTATTTTATGTGCTGTAATGATTCAGAGCGTTTTTGTGTTACGTCGAAGTTACAAATCGCAGGACATTAATCGCTGTAATTAAGTAGTGATGCTGTCCTGATTTTACCCAGCAAGAATGAGTTAATCTTCCTATGACGTTCTCAAGCAAAGCTATTTTTGAGTTTTTGGTAGCACAGGTATGGAGATAGATACTACGGACGATCATTCTTGCATTGCTTCACCAGAATCAAGTGATGACGTGTCAGCTGTGGATGAAATCTGCTCATCCTTGCATGATGATCACTTATCTGATATGGATGACATGGACAGCTGTCGAACCCCGCCAAAAATCGGTCTTCGCAGCAGTGATCTGTTTGACAATCTACGGAAAGATGATTCGGATTCATCGGAAAGCTCTTTGTCTTCCTGGGCAGAGCATGACGGAAGCTTTTCTGCTGTCCGTGAGTCCTTATGCTTTTTACTAAAAAAGAAAGCAGTGTATTTTTGTAGATTTTAAAAGAACGTGCTGAGAAGTCTTTTTCACTTGAAACGTGTGTTCAATGGTAGCGGAGGTCACCGAATCATCCGAATAGATCCCTTTACGACTTAAATACAAGGTTGATTTTTCGTAAAACTCTATTTATTTTGCAGATGAGAAATTTGAGGATCTTCTACCCGTCATTCGAAAAGAGAAGTCAGTTTTCTTCTGTTCTCACTGTTGTTTCACTACAATTCAGAAACCTGTCCTGCTACATCATCTTTCTGACGAACACGGGATCATTTCACCGATGGAGCATGGAAACCAGAGGTCAGTTTTTGTCGGAAATATTAAGACTTCGCATTTTCTTCATTCGCCGGTTTTTGATAACCTGGGAAATATTTTATTAATAGAATTGTCTTTTTTAAGATTCGAAGAAGTCATTATTTGTGAGGACCAGCATCTCCCTGCGAAGATCCCTGAAGTGGAAGGAAGACGTCCGAAACCGCAACTTTCTCCGAATTCTAATTTTTACGCTTGTCATTTCGTCGCGGATTCTGATCGTCAGTTCGATTTCATCAACCAGCTGTCCACGCTTGAAAGTACCCTACGGCAAAGACAGCAGTTGAAGACAACTCATGGACATAATGATCACACTATTGGGCAGAAGGAATTTATTGGAACCCTATTTGTGAAATCTATGATATTACCGAAACTTCCGTACAAAAATGTGGTGTACATGGAAGGCTCTGATGAACTAATGAGAAGGTCGCGAGTTACCGACGGATCCTCGATTTTCATGCGTGAAGAATCGAGATTTACTGTGATAATTCCGATGGGAGCTGCCATCTGTTTTTCATGTTGTCTTGACCTGATCCGTATCATGGATCCTGGTTACAAAGTTGGCATTTTGTATTATTGGAAAAGTCTGAAGCTCGCCGTAATTTTCTCCACGTTGTCTATCACCCCAAATTTGGCTCTATTAGCTCACCGATCTGTTTTACCGATCCATGTTCAGCGCTATCGTGATCGGTGAGTACTGTGCACAGCACAATTTTACTACCTCTTATTAACGCACAACTAATTTCACGACCGCAGTATGATTTTGGAATTCCATATTTGAATAATTCTTCACTCCCTACGAAAAATTGGAAGCTCAATTGTGAGTCTCCCTTTCGTTTCAGAAATAATGAACGAAAGTCGGAAGATGCTGAGAAGTCATGCAATGTACTTCCAGGATACCGAGGTCAGGATCCTCTCATACGTGCATTGCCGTGTTGTCCGAAATTGTCAGAATTCTTGGCAGATCGTGCTGTGATCTCTGAGCAAGTTGATCTAGGTGAAAATTCCGACGTTGTACTTGAAATAAAAGAGATATTTTAAAATCGGAAGTATTTATTGCGGAACATTATTTATGATCAAGCACATGTAAATGTATATGCAGTATGTATACCTGGATCATGAATTATAGGATTCGTTCCAACTTGTGTATAGGTGCAATTGGCAAAATGGTCTGTTAGGCCGATGAAGGAATTTGAATCATAATAGTTTCGGCCATTGGAAGAATTTTGCTGTTGACCCTAATCTAAGATGATGGTTATGCATTTAAATGAAACATTTGTATTCTATTATACAGGGATTCAGATGCAGATTGAGGCATTTTGCTCAATTCATTAAAAACGATGAACTAAGGAAAACCCAGTATACTGGCGCAGTATCTCAACTGGGAGCATGTATTGGAAGAAAGATGATTTCTGGGAATGAAGAACAAAATCATTGCATATTTCCTGCGCTGTAATACCGTTGACCATTCACCTCTTTCTACCCTTTGTTAGTACTGTACAGTACATTATTGAAGCCGAATAGTGATTGATTACGATTCACATATTATGAGAGTTTTTCAAGCGCGAAGAAATGATTTTTTTTACTAATGTACAGTACATAATGTGTCACGACATTGATGTAGGGTATTCCACGAAGTCAACGAGAACGTACCATGATGTGCATCAGCTCTAGTTCTTACACGACAACCGAAATCTTGCCCAACCCGCCCGGCTGGTCCCCCTAGCGGCCAGGGGGAGTTTCTGAAGCAACTTCCCGATCGCTTCAGATTCTTCCGCCGTCAGTCGCCCCGGAGCTTTCGTGCGAAGCGTAGTCCGTGGGAACTTGCCCAACCCGCCCGGCTGGTCCCCCTAGCGGCCAGGGGGAGTTTCTGAAGCAACTTCCCGATCGCTTCAGATTCTTCCGCCGTCAGTCGCCCCGGAGCTTTCGTGCGAAGCGTAGTCCGTGGGAGCTTGGTTGTATGCGAGTGGCTTCGGCATGAGGAAACGTTCCTTGTCATTTCTGGGTGGTTTTGTTCTTGAAATCCTGTGAGCACATTGCTGAATTATTTAGACATCGTCGTGTCTGCTTTGCTGCAAGGTTTCGCTCAAGAAATACGATCGTAATGATGAATGTTCCGTGTAAATATACAGTATGTCCTAGGTGATGCTTCCAGTATTGATCTATAATCCTAGAAGTTGACCATCTACGCAGTGCCGAAATTGTGTTTTGTGAATTGCTTTTGGGTATTTTTTTCTTAAGCGAAGATCAGATCTCGAATGAGATGTACTATTCATTGCAGAAAGCGAAAGTCATGAAAACCATTGAAGCTCATTTCTCTCTTTAAACTCGTTGCGGAGACGAGTTATTGTTGCGTACTTGGGGGGCTTTGTCATGATGAAACCGTCAATTCTTAATACTTGCCCAACCCGCCCGGCTGGTCCCCCTAGCGGCCAGGGGGAGTTTCTGAAGCAACTTCCCGATCGCTTCAGATTCTTCCGCCGTCAGTCGCCCCGGAGCTTTCGTGCGAAGCGTAGTCCGTGGGATCTTGGTTGTATGCGAGTGGCTTCGGCATGAGGAAACGTTCCTTGTCATTTCTGGGTGGCTTTGTTCTTGAAATCCTGTGAGCACATTGCTGAATTATTTAGACATCGTCGTGTCTGCTTTGCTGCAAGTTTTCGCTCAAGAAATACGATCGTAATGATGAATGTTCCGTGTAAATATACAGTATGTCCTAGGTGATGCTTCCAGTATTGATCTATAATCCTAAAAGTTGACCATCTACGCAGTGCCGAAATTGTGTTTTGTGAATTGCTTTTGGGTATTTTTTTCTTAAGCGAAGATCAGATCTCGAATGAGATTCATTGCAGAAAGCGAAAGTCATGAAAACCATTGAAGCTCATTTCTCTCTTTAAACTCGTTGCGGAGACGAGTTATTGTTGCGTACTTGGGGGGCTTTGTCATGATGAAACCGTCAATTCTTAATTCATGATCATCTTGAACTGTACAAGTGCCGAGATTACTGTAGTTGGTCGCGTGGCCCACTTGGATGACGAAATTCTTGTGTTCAACTAAAACGTTCCCAGTAGCTAATGATTTACTTTTGAGTTTGAAAGAAAACCATCATTATTTGATATACCATAGTTCTGTGGCATTTTGTGTGAAGCCGGTGTTGTAACATGCTTGACACTGCCCGTTTAATTTCATGTGCGACTGGTATCCTGATTCTCGCAGAGTAATTAGCTGCTCTTCTTCAATTTCAGTTGACCTTGTTGAATTTAATCGAAACTGATTATGTAAGATTATCATTCTGTATCAAGATGTGGGCGCCGCTGGCCTTCGTGCTGGCCACCGTCAGTGTCGTCCGAGGTTTCGCTCATGATCATCGCAATTGCGACCACCACCATCCGAAGGACCATGAGGTAAGCCTGTTTTTCGATGGCTTTCAGGAGCATTTCTTAAACTTATTTTAAACCATGGAGCATTGGACAACATCTTCGATCAGAGGTTTCTTCTTTTTTTTTGCGATCAGGACTATCAGGAGGTTGCGCTTTTGTACGTTTCATAGGTTGAGATACGCATGATTCGCAGTTTCGCGCGGTTTTTTGGCTTCGTATTTCACTGAGTGTTGGGGTTAGAAACGGAGATTCCCAACCTTTTCGAATCTACGAGCTGTTTTAGTATCCATTCGTATGTCGAAGTCATATTAGAGGAAATTCCTACTTTGAACCTCTACTGTAGGCCGACGTTATTTCTTGCTTATTTCCTTTTCAGATTTATAAACTTCGAATTTCTTATCTGCATGGCTTTTATCTCGAGTTAAAGACATAGCAGATCTCATTTGTTTGTTTGGGTTCTACTTCTTTATATGCAATTTAATTTAGTTTCTCTAATTTTATGGCATTTATAAACTTCGAATTTCTTATCTGCATGGCTTTTATCTCGAGTTAAAGACATAGCAGATCTCATTTGTTTGTTTGGGTTCTACTTCTTTATATGCAATTTAATTTAGTTTCTCTAATTTTATGGCATAATTCTTTAGGCACTGTCTGTCTTTAAATACACTATGTAGATAAATCGAAATTATTATTTTGCTTTTAAAAAAATCCCACCCGCTCTCGCGAATAAGTTTCAAGTAAGCTTTTCCGGGATGATGAGTGATGCGTTCTACCATTTTTTTGTCTCAGTATTATTTGATGTCTTGACTATTTACGTAAGTGTTCTGCAGTGGTGCCGCGACACTGAGATCATTGCATTAAAAAAATTATTTAGTTGTTGGGTTTTCTCCGGACTGCAGAATCAGCTTTCATTTGAAATACGAGTATTTTTCGCGATATCATGTGTATAAATTGTATGATCCGGAGAAAAGCCAAATTCTTGGGCTCTCAAGCTGATAACTAGGAATTCATGTGCAATTCCAGTACGATATTGCACCCTGTTCCCTACGTTCAAACATTTTCAATAAAGTTATCTACTTGACTGAAACTAGGCCTGTTAGCAATATGAAAGGTGCAATTTTTTTGAAGAAGTAAAATCCGGATGATGTACGGGCTGTAGTTGCAAGCGTGTTATAGCCGATCAGCGAATTTTATTTCTGGTTCAGATTGTAAAACCGTGGTAATGAGAATCTAACTGCATTCAAGCGTTAAATCTCGTCGAATTATTCTTTTCTCTTGAGAAAAACTTTCTTCTGCGTAAAATCGCTTGAAAGTCCTCAATCGCGCCATTAACCTGCTTCAGAGACTTTCATTGTGTCGGTTTCGCAATTTTTTCGGGTTTAATGATGTAAGCCGCGATATTTTTGACCGCGTTTCCAGGGAAAATTTCAACATTCGCTTCGCACACTCCCAACAAAAATTTCGCAAATGTCCTCAAACGCCGCGTGTTTTTTTTTCCAAATTCACATGTCACTGCTTTTAATTCTTCGCAACCTCGAGCTGATGCACGAATTTCCTACTTAGTAGAAGTGCAGACTTGACACGCTTGTAATTCAACCTTGCAAACTTGTAAAACTGATGTTATTCTTCCTCTTTCTGGAATACAGTACAGGACATGGTTGAGAAATACCTAGGGTTTTCGTAATTTTTTCAGACCCGTATGGTAGGTTCATAAAACGAGTTTCGCGACAGTTGCAAAAATGTTCCACGTTTATCTCCGGGCAGCGTGAACTGACCTGCCGCGATTCACGTCTCGCTATGGATGAGACGCTGATCTTTCACATGCATCTTTACATACTGTCATGTCATGCTAGAAAGTAAACTAATTTTGATGAGTTTTCATCCGTCGGTACCGTGCCTTTTTATGAAATTTTATTCCTAAATGTCCCAACCTATAGCCCAGAAACCGAGGCTTGTTTCTGGAGTGTGCTCTTCAAGTATGGTGATTCTTGTTTTTTTTTTAAATATCCTAATTCCAACGCTGCGGACGCCGAATCGAGACCCGAAAGCTAAATCGTTTGTAAATGCATCATATTCTTGAAAACGCAGAATTATTTGCAATTTGGTTCATTAAGTCGTTGCGAGCAAAATGTATTCCCAAGCGCCTTCAAAATCTGTCGCATAAATAATTCAGAACTTACCCGAGACCAAGTCATGGTAAATTGTTTGTCAACACTTGGAGAGCCTCAAGAGTTTACGAAGCGTGGAAGAATTTCGATTTATGTATTGTACAACGAGTATATTTTATCGAAGCGTAAATGTATAATCTCGGCGTGAAAAAATAACTCGCAAAGCTGCAATCCCCCTCACCCTTAAGAGGATGCGCATTTTGATGCAGTATTTCGGTGAGTTTTTCTCCGTGAAGATTTCATGAAGCGATTATCTAGCGAGGAATCCTTTAGCCACGAAGAGAAAGTATTCCTAGTAGCCTAGTTTTGTCGTTTTCCGTGGGCGCATTGATGCTCTCGCTTTTGGTAACAGCTGCGCTTTTGTCGCTGCATTTGGTCTAGGTCGCGAAACATTAGTATTATTCTCCTCACTATGAGTTTTTCCTCTCATCTCGCGTGGATGTCGGGGAATATCCGAACAGCTGGGCTCTCACAACTGCGTATCCGGTGGTTTTATATATTTTTTTCTGAATTCCGGATTAGTGTGACCAATGGGATCTCTGGAAAATGCTGAGCCTTAACGATGAACTAAATAAGATGTGTTTGTGTGTGACCCGAGCTCACCTCGAGAACATAACTCACGGAAGGGATTTTATGACTTTTTTTTCAACCAACTGTGTTTCTGAGTCGTCCACGCTGAAAAGCTCCATTTTCAGCTCGAATGAAATGTAAATTCTATCAATTGGATACCCATTCGCCGAGTTTTTAATGGTTCTGCCCTCTGTTGTGAGACTGATGAAAATTTAAAATGACGTGTCATTTGAAAGTAATTTGCCGTATTGACTCGAGTACCATGCGCCCTCAAGTGAGAATCGCACCTTGATTTTTTTAGGCACGAACTTCACCAAAAGTAATGGTGAAATAAGTAGAAACGCATCTTACAATTGAATAGAAACATGAAAAATTCAAACATTTTATCCATGCTAGACACTTCTGTCTAACCGGCTTATTCCACTACAGTTTCATGATTTTCGTTATTGAAAAATGTACTGTATACTGTATCCCCATATCACGCGCAACCCACTTCTCTGACTCAATTTTCCAGGTAATCGGAGCGTGTGGCACTCGAGTAAACACGGTAGATTCTTTATTTTTTAAATCACCGCGAAAATCGGATACAAAATTTGAAATTATGAATCGAAGGCAACGGAATTTAACTTCACTTTGAACCCAGTTGAGTTTTCGAGCCGTTCTTCTTTCATTCTGGATAAATCAATAAAGAATATTCAGTACTACTCTGTGCTGTGACCCGTATTTTTTGATATGCATGTAATCGAACTAATTCATGTGAATCCTTGTGTCGCAGATTTTTTTCATTTGAATGTCCATTTCGATTTCAGCTTTTTCACTTTCTTTGTTGGTAACTTTCGCTGCGAAGTATCCCGAGGGACATCATGGGTCACCACAAGGCTGCGGTGTGTCATATTGCGCTGTAATAGAAACTGATGCTGTCCAAACTGACTTTTTATTTGTTTCTCAGATAACTGTGATGTCGAAATAATCTCTTGGTCAGTTTTTTTCGAATTCCCGGGAGTTGCGCGATGACCGGTTTTCGATTACGGCTGTGGTCAGCTCAATTCTAGCTGATACAGCTAAAATGAGACCGGCGGTTATGGTTATTAATTTATTTCAAAATTTCACGTTTGATTTAGCTGAAATATCCGTCGGGAGGTTCGGAATTGAAAGCAGGAATTACTGTACTGTATCACGAAAAGCACTGTCTGCTTCATTTTCATTTGTACAGAGATATTTCCAGTTGGTCCGGTTCTCCAATTCCGATTCGATGAATTATAACTGCCCGTCGGATAAAGTTCATGGAATTAATGATGCGTTATTATTAGTATGACTGTCATAAAATTTGATGTCTGTGAGGGTGAATCAGGGTTATAACCTTTCTTTTAATCAATTTTTGAGTAAGAATCTCGACAGTTATTGTAAAAACAAACTTTCGAGGACTTCGGAAAAAATTTTTATACAGTACTGAAGAATTAGTTGTAACGGTATATATAAAAAAATTAATTTTTTTTATCCGTTAAATCTTTCTCCATGCATTTTTTCCTCACCTTTTACCGAGATACCCAGAAAAATAATGCTTCGTGACAACTGTTTCGAAATTTCCTTTGTTTTTTCTTAATCCTGTTCGTTTTCCGTCGTGGTTCGCCCATTTTTTCCCGCAAAAGTGGTGAACCAGTTCAAGAATCCATTGAACCGTTTCGTGGCTGGTGAGAGGAAAGAGAAGAAGGAGGGGGTGACCCAACAACGGAAGTAATTGAGCAAGCGTCACGGCTGAGTGCGTCGCCCAAACTCGAATGGCTGCTGCTGCCTCTGTTCTTTGCCTGAGGCGGAAATCAATTCCTTTTTATCATTATTTATTTTGCCCTTCCTCCTCATCAATCCGTGCCGTGTTTATTTCGGACGCGCAGGCGTACCCAAGAAAGAACACGGAAGAAAAAGGAAGAAGGTTAACTTGATTCCACGTGCGGTTTCCGTTCGTCAGAGACGGTGCTCGTTTCGTCTCCCTTCCCGGGGGAAGATAATTTCGAAGTCTGTTTGTTGAGGATGCTGGCGGGATTTCCATTGTACCCAGTATGGTTGACTAGGTTTTTTGAAAGCTCGTTTTGGGCACTGTTATGGTATGCGACGAAGCAGCGTAAGTTCACCCGACCTCGAACGTTGTCAATGTTACAGTACTTGGCCGACCTTACGATCTGTGAACTGTGGGTGACCATGGTTCATTTATGTTGAATTCGTATTGTGATAAATTTAAATTTCTCCAAATTGAGGGATTCGTGAAAATGTTCGGCTTCGGGGGCTTTTGAAGATGACTTGATCTGTGTTAGTTTTAAATTTATTTCTGACACACTTATCAAAATTATTGATTATTCAAAATTATTACCTGGAAGAAGTTGCCTGAATCCTTTTTTTTAATTTTCAAGGGTTTTTGCCGCTAATGTTCTTGATGTGTGCCCCAGTTTGTATTTTAAAATTTTATGAAGGGAGGTTATAGACATTTTTTAATTCGTGAGCTGTAACTTGCGTTGGCTTTAAGAAAATTGATTAGGGGTTCACTGGAAATTGGAATAGGAAGGTTTTTGATGCTAAAAGATTCAACTTGACAAAATCTGACTCTCGTTACATGAACTTACAGATGTACATGCATAGTAATTATATTTAGTGTCGAAGATGAGTTGGAAAAAGGAGTGCATTTGACTCTCTTTTTCGACAGCTCATAGTCATCTGCAGGTAGTAAAATATTCATGGCAACAGTTTGTGTGCAACAGTTATTTCTTATGTAGTATTAGATTGTCCTTCTTATTCTTGGGGTATGTTAATTATGTTATAAAAATTATAATTGGGTTAAGGCAGTTATGAATTTATTCAGACTTATTGGGTCAATTATGTTCTAGGGTAGGCTATTTCGATTTTAGGTAAGACAGTTGATGAGTTTTTTTGAGTTAGGCCGACTTAGTTTGGATGAGTTGAAATCAGTTTGGTCTGCCCGAATATTTTGAACCTATTCTACCGGTATGTAGTTGTGGTCAGCCGATGTGCTTGAGAAATTCGTCGAGGTTCCAGTCACAATCTTAAATGGTGCGCACGCAGGCTGGTCACGTACTGGAACAGTGCCTTCGGTTGATGTCTCGTTATGTTCGCAAATTTTAACGAAAGGATGAAGAATTATGCAAAATCCTTTTGCTTTTTTCGTTCCGGATATGATTGGCAAACCGGAATTGCATCGATAGTTATTTTGAACTACGCAATCGACAGGAAACCATAGTCGTGTTGCGCCATAGTTACGCGCAAGTTGGGAATATTGTACAACTGAAATGTCTTTTGCATCGGTAAGTTCATCTGGAATGCAGAATTGATCCGTGTAAAAGAGCGTGGTTTTTTTTTTCAAAGTATTGATTGCGTTTTCCGTTACGATCACTCTGAAGCAATTGGTGAAAAGTTGCATGGTTGGCTGCTATTATTCATTGGCGCGTAAACGTCGTGAAAATCAGTCAACTCCCGTTAGAAAGCACGTTGCAAAGTCATATTTTTTTCAAATCCCGTATGCATTTTGGCAATACTGTACCGGTACGGATAGGCGCTTAAAAATGATACCTTCGAGACTTTCTTTTGCGGGAGAAATCAAGGGCTTAGCCCTGAAATCTTTTTTTTTTCTTCTTCAGCTCATCGTGAATCCTCGTTAGTGGTTTCATTTGCATGTGTGATGACCACGTGTCGCCAAACGTTTGAATGCCTCATCCTCCCCGTTTTGTATTTTTCCTTGAACAGGAACCTGCATGTAATTTTTCATACTCAACTTTCCACAGCTTTAATAGTGTTGAAAAAAATCTGCCGACTTTTCTTGAATATTTTCGTACAATCTGGTTGTAGGTAGTATATGGCTGTGCCATACTAACGTGTTAGCAATCAAGCAGGTAGATGACGGAAAAAAAGGGGGGAAGTATTTTTGCGCAACTTTTTTCTTGTTTTCGATGGAATCAAAATAAATCCTGTACTCGTACACATGAAGTTTGCCAAATTTTTTACAGCTTCAGATTCTCTATGACCACTATGGCAGAGTATAGTTTAAATGTACTGTATTTCCATGGTCTTCAATCGAACTTTAGATTGAATCATATAACTTTGTTTTGTCCTTGAGATGTGAACCCATATTACGATGGAAAAGATTTTCGGGTGTCAGCTGTATTGTTCCTTTGCTGAGCCAAGCATAAAATAAGGTAACTGACGTTGGTCATTGTTTTCCCGTGATGGTTCGTGAAATGGTTTGCCGTGCACCGATAAATTATGACCGATATTGGGTGAAAGTATCTGTCTGGAAATGACGCGGAAGTTGACGCATTATTCGCGGAATGCTGTTCCTCATCTGCGGTACTTCTCTTGCATAATTAATCTCTATGGAAGCTTAAAATGCAGTACAGTATTTTGAAAATGCCCAGTTTCCCTGTTGCGTTCAGTGTTCGTAAATCTTGAGAGGAAGAAACAAACTCTGCTGCATTGTTTTTATTACCACGTTTTTATGAACTCACTTTCTTGTCTGTCTGTCTGTTTGTCCGGATGAAATTTTGAAACTCAAATTTCACTCACTTCCCGAAATAAATTTTAAGAATATTTTTTAAAAAGAATAAGAATAAGAATTTATAAAGAAAAAGATTTTTTTTGTTTTTGTTTTTCAAAGATTCGTTTATACGCGTTGTGGGCATAGGAAGAGATAATTGAGTTATACGCGCGTTTGCGGAAGAGTTTTTTGACTTCAGATGTACCGGAAAAGCGAGGTCGGATTGGGATGGAAAGTGGCTACCGAGGCGATGCGGGTAGTTATGAAATTAACCCGGTAGCGCATATTCTTGTGCAATACGTGCGGCAAGGCGTTAAAAAAGTGCGAAATTCCCATTTTTGCGGCTCCCCCCCCTTACCCTCTGGTTGGTCATTAGTTTGTCTGTTTCGGTACTAATGAAGAAAAATTTTCTGACGACTTTTCTTCCTCGATTGCAAAAATATCGGTTGAAGTGAATATTTCAAATCTGTTCTATTTTGCGAAATGCTTTGCTTTCCTTAATTTTTTCCGGTAACGCTCTTCCGTATAGAATTCAGGACTTGATTTGTGTTAATAAGATGGAGTTCTTTTTTTTTGAAATTGAGCCTCGCTGTAGGATGTACAGGGTCAGCCAGAAAGAAAAATGGCGACGAATGGTTCAAAAATCTGCTCTTCACGTCCGGCACAAATAACAATGCTCACTCCAGGATTTTACATTAGTTGTCAGATCTGGGAAATGGTGATACAAGTCATTTTTCAAATGTGTTTAGCGCAGTATTTAGTAAAATTTGCAGTGACTTGGCATTTATGAAAATTAAAAAATCGAGTTTGGCTCGTAAATTATTTCAAAACGATAGTGGGCTCACTTTTAAATTGCTTATGTTCCATTTCAACGGGATTGAAAGAAAAAAAACAATTAGAACATTGGTTACTGAATGATCGAAGATTGAATATTGTGTATTTCCGCATGTCCGTTCATCCAACAAGACTCCGACAAGAGAAGCAAAATAATGTTCTCAACTAATGAAGCAACCCTCATTGATTGATATTTAAATAGATTTCCACGAAATTTTAATGCAATATATTGAGGAGGGTTTTTTAAAAATGCCCCTGGGGTAATAATAGTGGGGCAAAGTAATAAAATTAGGCGTCATCGGGAGAATTTCGAAGTTCACTTTCTCGAGAGGGATGTTTACAATTTTCCGTTATGTGTCATTGTTGAGAATATTTTTCTTTTTATTACCGTTACAGTAGTCGAACGAATGAACGATCGCATTTGCAATGGAAATTGTGCGCAAATTTAGGAAATTCTTTCCAGATTTCTGTGATGAGTTAATTAGACAGCTGAAAAAACGAGCCTGATTGAATTCATGATTAGACTAACTGGTGCTTGAAATGGCGAAATTATTTTTAGTTTTCCGCTTTGAATCGAGTTAACCGATTTTATACTGTATTCTTTTCTTCAGTTTCTCACTTTCTCAGGGTGCCTCTGACACCAACGTATTTTGTGTAATTCCTGTAAAACTTTTCTTTCGTGCAGTATTATTTTAATGATGGAGCTAAATTTGTCACCGTTTTTCACACGAATTCCCTCGAAATTTTGCAATCTTTCGCAGAAATGCGCGTGTTTTCCTTCAACTGATCCTGCTTTCTCTTGATGGCTCCATTTGGTGTGATGGACGGTTCGTTTAATCTGGAGTTTAATTGCACGCGTTGGCAAATGAGATTCGCTCCCATGTCCTGAGGTGTCTGCCTGTGGATGAAGTCTCATTTTCGGTCATGTCCAAAGTTTTCTTTAATTCCTCCCGACGAATTTCTTTCGTTAAACAAGTTCTGTCCTAAATGATGAGATGATGAGGCGTAACAAATTGCAGGGTAATGTTGAAAACCTGAATCTTACTATTTGAGATTAGTGTAATTTTTCAGGCTGGAGGCGGAACTATCACCTGTCGCTGTAATTCTTTGCTACACGTTTTGCATCGGTTTTTTTCCCGCCGAGGATTCTGATTAGCATGTAATTTCAGATTTTGATTGCTAAATCAAAGAGTTCTGGATGCACCCTACGTTAGAAAGACCGTTCTAATCATTCTTTTTTTTCGTGCATTTTTTTTTTTGGTCAGGTGATTCATGGAGCTTTCATCGAACCGGAGCATGTGATGAGGAAGCGATCGATCGATCAGAATCTCAGAGTGAAACTTTTTTACGACCACAGCGTTTTTCGGTGAGTGCAGTACCTAATCTAAACTTTTTTTTTATATATGTTGTACTTTGAAGGATCGTTCTCGAATTTGCTTTCGTACGATTTCCCGTGCAGAAGGAAGAGGTTTACGGGTTGATATGCTTCATTATGCGAGCAGAGGGGGGAACATATTTCCGTAATTTAACAAATCGTTTGAGAATGTGAAGATTGCGCTTGTTTTTTTTTTTCGTTGAAAATTTTTTCCAGGCGGGCATTGTCCCGGTACAAAGGTTCTTTTTCCCGATGGGGAAAGGGAAATAAGAACCGAATGATAAATAAATTCCGCTCATTTGTTTGTTTGTTGTTGGTGTTGTGATATTCAATGGAACTTCTCTTGCGTCGATTTCTGCCGAAGATGATGTTGCAAGATTCCGAATTTTAATTTAGCAGTAAGATCTGCGTCTCGTACGCGGAAAAGTCGGGCTCGCAATTCGCATTTATCTCTTTTTGGAACGATTAAAAATCTTTACCTTTGAAACTGCGTGATGTACCAGCCATGATGAAAGCTTGAATCTCATCACCATAAATTAATCAATAGATATTTAATACTTTATTGCAATGTCGTTCCTTTGCTGCAACTGATCCTTTTTTGTTTGCCTTTCAAGATGTTGTATTTTTTAGAGCGAGGTTCACGTCTTGTTTCAAGGGTTGTTTTATGTTTTAATTTGTAATCTGTACTCAGTTTGAGTCATGTAATTGTAACAAAGCCAGGGTCGCGGTTTGCCAAAAGTCGTAAAATAGAACAGTACTCGAGAAGTATATTTCCCCATAATGAAAGTGCTCCAGCTTTGCTTTCGCATCAAACTACTGTACTGTAAGTCCTATTTTTCTTAATGCGTGATTAGTTTTGACTTGCGCATTATTCATCTCCTTGACGCTTGAATTAATTTGTTCAAGCAGGTTGCTTAGCTATGAAGAAGGATCAGGCTTGTTTAATTGTAGGTGTTGGACAAAGTAATACACTGAAAGCCTGGATTGCGTATCCGTTGTTGTGTTTGGCAATGTACCTTTTTGATATTTGGCTAGCAGGTAATTCGTCTATTATCCATTAAATTTTGTGAGTGAATGACGAAAAAAATAGGTTAGAGTTCGCGATGAATTGGAACTCTTAGATAATGGGTTAGGTTAATTGTTGAATTGGGTCTTGGATTTTGTGAGATTTGGTTTTGTCATAAAATTAACTTTGTTGAATGAATGATACATATGTTTATTCGTGTTTTCATTGGGTTAGGTATAATTTTTGGGATTGGATTAGTTTAGTCATGCGTTCGAAAAGTTGAATTATCCTTTTTTAGTGTTTGTAAGGCACAATACGAGGGTTCTAACGAAAGTTCTCGGAGTAGCAATGAAAATGGCATACAATTGAGCTGAAAAAAATTTATTCTCTAGCGAAAACATATTATTTGGCACACACAAAAAATCAGTCCGGTTTGACAATTTTTTTTTAAATTTTTTGCAAAATTCCTTCATATAGAGTTTTGCTCTCCACTCAAAAAATGAGGCGCCCTTTTTTGTTGTAGCCCTGGTTTCCCCTCAGAAGTTTTGAAATCAACTCGACATTCTTTCTAGGGTAGTGGCGGCTGTTGATGAAAATGGCAGAATTGCCTTGGATGACCTGGAGGCAACCCTTAGAAAGAATGTCGAGTTGATTTCCAAAATTCTGAGGGGAAAGCTGGGCTGCAACAAAAAAAGGGCGCCTCATTTTTTGATTGGAGAGCAAAACTCTATATGGATGAATTTTAGAAAACATTTTAGAAAATGGCAAACCGGGCTGATTTTTTTGTGTGCCAAAGAATATATTTTGGCTAGAGAATAAATTTTTTTTTTCAGCTCAATTGTATGCCCTTTTCATTGCTACTCCAAGAACTTTTGTTTGAACCCTTGTAGGTAAGGGAGAGTGACCGGATCAGTTCTGTGTCTGACTGACAAATGCTCAAGAAGTTTAACGAGAAACAGTATCCCTTTTTCAAATATTATGCATTGAGAGCATCCTCTCATCTGAAGCCAGAAAATCACCTAAAGTGTTGGAGTTTCGGAAAGTTCGGAAAATGTAAAATATATTCAGAACTTGCCGAAAATAGTAAAGTTAATTGACCAGTGAACGAACCATTCATTTAGGGTAGGTCGCAAGGAACTTTCTTCGTCAGTTCATGTTTGCAAATCATTGTTATTGGTATGATCCTCAGCAGCTGTCAAATGATAGATTAGAGAAACATATTCATCAGACCGATGGACAGATTTACCTACTTCAGAGCTGGTAAACAAAGCGTTATTTCTGCATCATAGTGGCAATGTTGGAAATATGCCGAAGAGATTTTATGACCAGGACTTCTTTGTGCAAAGATAAACCATCGTCAAACACTTCATGTGTTGTTATCCTGAGATATTGGGATTAACTATGCATACTAACAAAAGACTGAAACATTTTCAGGTGTGAATAAATGTTGACTGATATGACTGCGATCCGTGTCAAACTCGACAAAATCATAATTTTTTAATACAATGTAGTTACGAGCGCTTCGGTGTAAACTGTTATCGACAGTTACAACTGAACTCAGACGTGTTATTCAGCAAAAAAAACAAAAAAACATGAGAGATTGAATTGAGAAGGACATCCTCGCCTTTGCATCATCCATTCTCACATTCTCAATCGGTGGAAAACTGGGATGAATGCTGCAGAAAATTATGCATTATTATCGCAAGTTGCTGACGGATGAAAAATCTGAAGTATCTTCGCTCACGAACAGAAGTACAGTATGTGAAACCTGGATAATTTTTATTGCTTTCATCTCTTTGCTTCGCAGACTGGTGCTGACGTACCATGACCAACTGACGCTAGTCTTTTGGGACGGCTCAGGACAAATATTCGATGGCGCACATCTCCAAGCCGGGATGCAATCAAGTGCAGCTCCCAGTGATTCCCAAACGCGTTTTGCGCCAACAACCAACATCATACCTTTCCCTGGGAATGTGCCAGAAACTCGTTCCAATGTCAATTCCTTGTTCAGGAACAGCATGGCGCTGATCAGAATCTCACAGCCATTCGTCTTAGGATCAGCTGTGATGAGCATAAAGATTGCGACAGACGTGGGTCCTGACTTGCAGTCCATTCCGTTGGACGGCGTTTACACACACATTTCTCAAAATGGAGGCAAGCGCAGTGGTTTAACAATTTAAATAATACTTGCATATCATTATACGGGTAGAATTTTCTAATATATGAAGTAGCTAGCCTCTATTCTAAGTCCAGCCTGCATTGGAAGCACAGCGAAGTTTCGTACATTTTCTATGTCTTATCTTACGAAAATCTCTGAAATTGACAAAGTTGAAAACATAAATGTGAAGTATTGTTTTAAAATCTTTAAAAAAGTTATATTCAAGATCATGACTAGAAAACCAAATTTCCAAATTAAATTGCTCTACAAAATACAAACATTTTTGAAACCTCAGTGGGCGTTATATAATGAGTGAGAAAAAGTAGAATTTGAGTGAATATAAAAAAGTTGGGTTGATCTAAAGTGGAAATCATGAATTCAAATGTTCCAATTTTAAAATGCTGACAGTTTATGCATTATTCTTCACTTCAAAGTTTTCACGAAAGTTTATGCCCATTCAAGCCTCTACTAGATTTTGTCTTTTTTAACTTTGAAAAAGATTGAATAGTGACAAAGTTATCAATAAGAATGTGACACTTTTCCTGACCCGGGGAAAAATATTGCAATTTTTCAAATTCAAATCTCAGCAGTCAAACCTAGACTTTCCCATTTGAATGGATGTACCAAAATGTTGTCCACATTTCTGCTTTCAAATAATTTATAAACCCTAATATTGAGGGATGGAAAAAAGCAAAAGCATTCCTGAAATTCAATAGAATATTACATAAATTGGAGTCTAAATTTTGAATCTAGAAAAAAAGAGTTCTGAAAGATTTTTTTGTCTGAAGTATGTAAATTTTTAGACCCCATAATGTGTATTCAAAGTCTTGAAAGAAATTGAAAATTGATTGATGGCAAAAACGTTAGGATGAACTCTGATAGAAATTGTAAATACCTCACTCTTTTTTTTTTAAACTTGAATGTTGTAATACTTTCATATGCAGTACTTGTCATTTTCATGGCCCAGCCACTGTCAGTAAGTTTCTGCCAATTTCTTGTGAACTATTGCATTGTATTTGTTTTGCAATGGACCAGCAAAAAAGTTTGGCTGAATGGTGTAAGTCTCAGAGGACCAGGGGCTGAGGAGCACTCACCTACTTCATGCTAAAGAATTTATAATATGCCTGGGTTTTGAAAAACAAAAATTGTGTTTAAGAGAAAATTGGGTTTTACATGGTGAAACTAGAAAAATATGATATTGTTATTGTTAGTCAATTCAACTTTTTTTTTTTTTTTTACAAATTCTGAAGAATGTAGATGCCCAGGTGTGGCTGTGCACCACCCACATGTATAACAATAAAATCAATGACTGTCTGAATTGAAAGATGATGATGATGGCATATCAGACCATTTGACTTTATAGTACAAAACATGGAACAGTTCATTTCTTCATTTGTTTCTGGAATTCTGATGGAAATTTCAACAGTTGAGACAAGAGTTACCCTCACAACAATTAGAAATTCTGGACTATTTTAATGCATAGAAAACCATTCCCTCATTTTAAATATGTTCATCTAACAATCACCCTGCTGTATTTAAATTCATCTCATTTTTCCAATTTGGGGGACAGAAAAAAATTACAACTCTGCAACAACAAATTTGCTTTGTCGCCAAAAGAAGAATTATTTCATGCAATCTGTTGAAAGATCATCATATTTGAAAAGGAGTCCTGCTAATTTGTTGTTTTCCTTTCACAGTTCACTATATCACACAAAAAGCAGATGTATCAGTTGAAGGTGCAGTGTGTCCAGCTTCCATTCCAAAATTTAGAAGCACTGTGGATACTACTGCAACATCATGTATAGCTGTCCATCCAAATGCTGGAAATGCATGTGTCCAGGTAATTTAAAATACTGTGATATCCAATTCATGAATGAATTGCAGCTTGATCATACTAAGTCAAACCAAAAATTAACTAGCAATACATTTATGACTTCAGGAGTTCTTGTGGAAAAATGCTGGCCACAGCAATGAAATTTATTCAAGGAAAATTTTACTTGGCAAAATTATTTTTTTTTATCATATTAATCACAGCTTTTCATTATACATCAAGTTCTTCTCTTCGCTCTTGAAAAATAAATTATCTACTTGGTTTTCTGGAAGTCCTGTTCAATGGGTTTCCTCAAAGGGGATTCAACTTAAAACTTTGAATATTTTTCAAGAAAGTCTCCAGGCTCATATTGTGAAATTGGGAAACTATTCCTTTGTTTAAGTTGAGGAAACTATAAATGGATTTGAAGGAAATTTAGATTCCAATTCAAACCTGGGTACACATAAAACACAGCAAGATCTAACATGGAAACAATTCTGAACAGATGACTTCTTGTTGAAAAAAATTCAGTTCCCAGAAGGATCTGCTGTTGTGATGCTTGGCTACAAGAACACACCCTATCTGGTTGCACTAGCAAAATTAGATGTGTGTGTAACAAGCCCAAACACTTTATTTCTTGGATCATCCTTGGAGTTTGCAGGACATATGCAAACAATTTGCAACAATCCAGATGTAGTCTGTGAAAGTTCAAAGACAACTGAAGAAACAACAGTACCAAGTGCTACAGATGGACCAGTTGCTACAGATGGACCAGTTGTTACAGATGGACCAATTGCTACAGATGAACCAGTTGTTACAGATGGACCAGTTGTTACAGATGGACCAGTTGTTACAGATGGACCAATTGCTACAGATGGACCCATTGCTACAGATGGACCCATTGCTACAGATGGACCCATTGCTACAGATGGACCAATTGCTACAGATGGACCAATTACCATAGATGTAGGTTTCACATTTGGAGGATTCACCAATGCTCCATCAGAGGATCCTTCGCAGTCTGAGGGTTCATTCAAGAAATGGGTGATATTCCCAGATTTTTTTTCAAAATTCAATTGTGTCATCAGGGAATTTTACAGATTGTTGACTTCTGGGATATTTTTCAGTTCTTTCCAGATTCATGACATATATCAACAATGTCAAGCATTATGATTGCTTGTGTGTATCCATTTATTTGCTGAATTGTTGAATGGCTGGCATGCAAAAGCTATTTGGCAAAACCTCTCCTCTCTTTACTGAATCTAATTCCTTTGTGATGGTCCTTTAATTCATTGTGTTCAAGAATTTTTCCTCTTCACAATCTTTACCAAAGATCCTTTGTCACTGTGAGGTTGGTTTCCATTGGACACACCACTTGAACTGCTTGAGATAATAAAATTGTTCCAAAATGAAATTTGATTTTTTCAATGTTGATCTGACAGTGTTCCTTTACCTTTCTGGACCCAGGCACCAGCACCTGAAAGTTAATGATGACACATGGATTCTTGTTCCAATGTTGGAACAAAAATCCTCATGTTGTCTTTGACTTTCATGTCAACACATGGATCCTTGTTCCAATGTTGGAACAAGAATTCTTGTGCAACTTAAAATGGGGTAGAAGAAGAGTTCAGAGTTTCTGGGATTTGTACACGCATTCAAGTGATCATATGCACACAGTAAGTAACACAAATACATGCACACACACACACACCCAGACAAGACAGTAACACATAGACATACCACACAATATATGAATAAGCTGCAACCCTGCAGATTTGAAATGCAACCCCACAAACCAGAGCATGCAGTCTAACCAACTGCACCAACAACACTGCTTGATAATTGATGTACTGTACTGCTGAACAGTTGTGTACCCCATTTCCTGTAAAACCCTGCCAATGTGCTGATGTATATCATACTAATGCAACACCTGAAAATTCTTATTGAACATGCATGTCTGGCCAAAGCGTAATAATGAAGGGAGGGAATGATGTGATGGTGTGCTTCACAATGGTTCTTAAGAGATGGATTAGAGGGAATAGATATGTGTTCACAAAATTTCATTAACAAACAGTACAAATCACATGTCACCCATGAGTAAACCCAAAAAATGACATCATACACAAATTAAGGCAACAATATTCATCAGAACATCACTGAGTCTGGAAACCACATCCTGTGATGAAGCATTTTGCAACATGACACCACCAGCACATCACCAATTGCTCATGAAAGTAGGCATTCTTACTGATGGGGTACCTTGCATCACTGAACCACTATGAGGTGTAAGATTATGAACAAGTGCACTTGATGCAGTTGGTGCTTCTGATTATTCTGAGTAAGGCTGCACACTAGACAATGTTCCTTCATTTGTTTTTGGTGTGCATGTAATGTCACCTTCAAATTCTTCCTCTTCCTCATCATTAAGGTGATTCTGCCATTGTTTTCGGTGTTGTATTTCTGTGGGCTTCTCCTCCAGTTGTTGTTGGTACTATTGTATCACCTTTGTCATCCATTTCCCACTGTCTTCAATTACAAGTACTTTGTTGCAAATGCCTCCAAACTAACCGCTGAACAAAAACCCACTCACGTAATGGGTGAAGAAAATGCAACCAAAGAAACAACTGAATCCATGATGCAAACAAGTTTAGATAATTCCAAATGCCCAGAACACTTGAAACAAGTCATTAAAAGATATTCCTAATAAATATGCAGAATTATTGGCTAGACGAAGAACAGATAATAAAGGTAGGTCCCTGTAATATGTCAGCCCACCATTCCACTAAATATTAAAGAACCCATATGCACTATACAATACCAAATCCCACATTTTTAAAGAGATGTGAGGAATAAATTTGTCAATGATATGAATGAGCAAGGTGTGGCCTGTCCATCTAATTCACCATATAATTCACACACATTAATGATAAAGAAAAAATATGGAGGATGGAGAATGGTAGTTTTCAAAGCTGAATTTGTACTTGGGCTGCCAAAGAGCAGCCAATATGCTTGGGGCTGCCAATATAGCAGCCAATAAGCTTTTGGGCTGCTGATAAGCAGCCAATGAGTTTTTTGGGCTGCCAAGAAGCAGCCAACAAGCCACTTGGGCTGCCCATGAGCAGCAGAATGGCAGAGTCAAACAATTTGAATGCTATCAGTTTTAACTGATGTGATTACTGGCTCTCAAAGGTTTGTCAGGTATGAAATTATATTCTCCTTTGTGTTTAAGGAGGGAAAATTCTGAAGAATATTTCTTCCATAAAAGACCAATTAAAATTATGTAATGTAAATCTGTGGGAAAACAAGACTTGACTTAGGGACATTTTGACTTGGGGACCCTTGATGCACCAATTATGTCTGCATCTTGAGGTCTTACTGTATTTGTCTTTTGTGTTACAGGCAAACCATTTACATTAACACATTTGCACATGCACTTGATTAAAATCTTGAAATAAGCGCTCAAGCTCATTTTCTGTTAGAAAGTGATAATTCACCACTGTGCTGTGAATAAAACTTGTGGATAGCAATTCTCTGTAGTTTATTCTATTCTCTACACTAGTCAGTTTCCACAGAAAGTGAGCAGCAACTTTGTGTGGGTCATGCCTGTACTAGCTAGGTCATCTGGTCTGCACTACTTGACCTGACTACTTCTGCAATTATCCAGCCACCTCAGGTGCCTACTCAGTGACCTAGCTGAGGGCACACACCTCTAAAGTTGGAGTTTCTTGACTATTAGCTCACAATTGTTTGTTGCCACAAGTCTAGGCACAACCAGTAGTAAATTTTAGAAAATTAAATGATCATGTAATAACTGATCCCTATCCTCTTTCTTGAATTCATCAGATCTTTGAAGAATTAGGTAAAGCTAAATATTTTGCAGCATTGGATTTGTTACATGGGTTTTATATAACCTTGTAATACATCCAAAAGATCAACATAAAACATTTTTCTCTACTCCCTCAGGGAACTATGAATTCACTTGGTTGCTCATGGGATTAAAATATTCCACCAGCATATTCCAAAGGATGATATTTAGTATTAGATGGATGTTTAGGCAATGCCTTTATTCACATTGGTGCAGGTCCAGGGGATGAAGAATTGCAGTGAAGTTTGGTGGCAGATACTCCACTTAAAAATATTATCCTGGCAAGGAAGAATAGTGTGGACAGAGCATTTGTCCCAAATGAGCAAGCTTTTCCTTTTTTTTAATTTTCATGTCCTTGTTGACCTGCTTCAGCCACTTACAAAAAGTTGCAGTGGTCAACCAGGCACACTTCTACATTCTTGAAACAATAAAGGGGTTTTCCTGATTTACCAATGATATGTGGCCTCAACTTCTTTGTCCCTGAAGCATGGCAACAAAAGAGGGCTTCTGTCTCTGCTTTGATTTTTGGCCACCATGACAAGGATGATTTCTAACAGCCAATGTGCAATTTGGTATAAACTTTAAAAAATGACCATTTCATCTGCATTGAGAATGCTGTCAGGGCTTTAGGATGCAATAATTTTGTTAATTTCACTGACCTGCCACTTGTTCACTTTTGTGGTGAGAACTGCGGATTTTTCCCCACAGATCACTTTAGCTGAACTTCAAAATAAATCACAGATTCAATTGAGCCACCCATCACTGACTATAGAAATGATTTTTGGTCAAATGAAAGTGCCCACTGCCTGGCATTATCTTGAATTAAGGGTCCTTCTACAGGAATGTTGCTAAGTTTCACTTCTTGAAACCATGTAAACAGAGCCTTGTTCAGGTCTGGATTTGCATGCAATGAGGTCCCATGTTGAAGTCACACAATTTAATTTTTGATTTTTGACAAATTTTTTAGAATTGTAGACAAAGTTGCTGGCATATAATTCAAAATTTACTTGCCATCTCCTTTTTTTTGCTGCCATCAAATGCAGTAAAAATGCTCAGCTTCTTTTCAAGAGTTAAATGTTTCCATTTTCTTTTTTCAATTTTTCCTTTTCCATTCTGTGGACTGCCTAAAAAAGCCCATGTCATTTTTAAAAACAATATGGCAGGATTTTTGCCTTGACTGCAGGGTGACACCACAAATCCAAGCAAAACAATTGCATATTTGTGCTTGAATCTTGTCTTCTTGTGATTGTTCATTTCCTAGGGGAAAAATTGACACTTTTTTGCAAAATAAAGAGGAAAGGCAAACATTTTGTTCCAGAAATTTGACTGATTTTTGTAACCCTGAACATACAACTGATATGCATTGCTGGGTAGAGACACAGGAAAAGGGAAAAACAATGAAAAATTCACTGAAGTGGGAAACACAAGAAATTTAAAATTACTATTATTTGTGTGGATTGAATTTGTTATCTTTAATCTTACCAGCAATTCTTTTAATACAAATCCAAGCATTCCAGGATCCAGAACTAACAAATGAAAAAATGCTTGCTGTGTTCACCAATTGTGTTTTGAACAGTCACTGTTGCAAGTTGCACTGGAACCTCTATATCACAATGCATGGGACATGAATATTTTTAAATCTTTTTCGAGTGCATCTTTATTTTTATTCATCAGAAGATGCTAAAGAAGTGCTCCTGGATTGGACGTTTAGATGGATTCTGTGGACTTCATGGTTCAAGGTCTGATCATGTAAATTTTAAAAATGTATTCCAGAGACATCATCCCTGTTGGGACGGTTATTCTATTAAAGTTTTTTGTTGTACTTCCTGTAAGTTCATGGGAAACAGCATTTTTGGATTAACCTCCAGGGGTCCCAACAATTCTGCATAACAATTTTTGCTGTGCTCCAGGGAAGTGGTTTCATGGATGGGTGGAGGAACTCCCTCTCCTGGGTGGATCCCATAGAGATATTGAATCATTTGGGTCCTCCATTGAGGCCTCCTTTGATTCAGATTTCAATGGTGAATAACACAAACAAATTTCAAGTAAGTTTTCCTAATTTTCCCACAAAAAGGGAAAAAAAGGTTAAATTTTTTTATATGATAGAATTCCCAAGTTTGTTAAACCAAGATTTTAAACATGCATTCTATTGGCTTTTGGCCAGGACTTGAAAAAATTTTGTTGCATAAAATGTTTTTAACAGTATTTGTTGTAACAAAATTTTAATGTATTCTTAATTTAAACTGAAAGAAGTCCTTTAGCCAGCAAAGCACACAGAAAACCCCTGAAACAAAAAATACATTTTGTTCTTCAAGAGTGAGTTGGTAGTACACATTTTGTGAGAGATGATAGCAGTAAGTATTTGTTTAAAACTCATCAGTTTTCTTATAATTGCCAGAATCAGGATTACAGCAGCATGGTCATCTGAGTGGGGGACTCATTTTTGGGTTATGCATGAGACCCTTGGGACCAAAGGCCAGTTTTTTTTCAGCATGGGATGGTTCAGAGGATTATTATTACATTAAATTATTGCCTCCTGCTGCAGTCCAGAACATGGACTAAATCATAATATTGTCTTTTATGTCTTGAATTTCATCATTTTTTGGCATGGAAATCATTCTAAGGTCAAGAAATGACACGTAAAAATAGCGTATTTTACATTTGTTGAGGTTAAATTACTTACATTGCGAAATTTCCTGTAAACTTTTGATTCCATCTTACAAGCATACCTTGGTGAAAATGTCTTCAAATTTTCCATTTAAGAATGGTATCCGCTTTTGGCGACAGTAAATCAGTCTCAAAATTCATGTTGATCAGTTCAACAATCATCAACCTCTATAGAAATGATTTTCCGCTCATTTTTTTATTTGCTAGAAAATCAATTTGCAGAGCTCGTGGAAGTATGAAAAATCTTGGTTCATCCAAATGTCATCTATTCAAGAAAGTACGTAGCTCAAAATTTTAACAGTTTACTCATGTACAAAAATGACGCGTCGTTAACCGTTTTCCAAACCAGGATTTCAGAACTGTGTCACGGAGAAGGGCAAATGAAATCTGAAGAAAGCACAGAACTTATCCGAGGTGACACACAAAGCAGAGACAAGTTTTTTTTAATGTAGCTCAGACTTATATTGTGACCTTCAACTAATTCACGAAAAAATCAAAGCTTTCTTCTGCATCAGCAGAAAGTGGGGATTTGGTTTTTTTTTCAATCGGTTAAAGAAAAAAAATAATCGGCCTAGTTCCTCAACCTGTTAGTTGGGGTCGACGCATATTGCGAACATGAAGAAATGGGACAAGCACACCACTACAATGCTTCAAAGGCTCAGTGTGAAATCTGAACGTTAGTGAGCTTAAGTGGCTTTGTAGGATTGAGTGTGCTGTTCAAAAAGACGAATAAAGTCTTCACGAAATTGAAGAAACATCCTCCCCCTCCAAGCATAAGTTTCTTCGAAATGTTCGGGTTTCCAAACACGTACTCCTTGATGGTGATTTTATTTCTGGTGGTCTGCAATGACTTCGGCACACTGATGTTGATGGTTGCTGCAAGTGGGTTTATGCAATAAATTTGAGTTCAAATTGGATATAGTATTGATAATCATTGACAAAAAGCGACTTCTTCAGAAAAACTCGATGAAAGAGTTTTTCTTACAATTATAAAAGCAGAACAAGATTTTGCGGTACTTTCCTGTTATCTCAGTATCTACTTTCCATGCACCTACCAGAAACTTTGAATTAGAAAGCAGAAACTGATTTTGGGAGGTGGTTAGGTGAAGTTAGGTTTTTTGTCTGAATGGTAGTGATGTAGTTCCTTTTCTCTTCAACTAATGTGATTAACTAATTTTTCATTGCACAAATATTGAATTCACAAGACAAAGAAAAATGGGTACTGAGATAACAGGAAAGTATGGATTTTGCCCTATGACTGAGATATGCTGTTATGTTGTATTTTTCCTCAGGACCCAAGGGCAGAATAAATGATCACCAGAGTGCACTCCACTCTCCCCTACAGCGAACATTGACAACAAACGATCAACACGCCGCATTTCTGACGATCGTATCTGCACACTTCTCAAACTCAAGCCCTGAACCTCTTTATTCTGGTTCCATCATATCACCCAGGTAAAATGAATTCATATATAATTAAATCCTATAAAAGTCGTCAGGGTACTCATCCCAATAATTGTAGGAAAAGGATATGAAATGCCATCCCAAAGTTCTGTAATATTTTTTGAGCTACAGCAGAAGGTCTCCTGTTCAAAAATGCTGTGACTGTGCACTACAATTTTTCACAAAACACAAATTTTTAGATTAAACTTTCAATAATTTTAAGAGAATATCAAATCAACCTTCTGAACGTTTTTCAAAATAAAAACCCTGGCCTTATCCTGGCACTAAAAACGCTTCTAAGAACCTGGATGCAGCTATTGTACGAAAAATTATTGAATGACGAAAACTTTCTATTTATTGTGTTCGTGTGTCATATGTTCGCGATGCTCATAAATGACTGAATTACTTCAATTTTTATGCGAGGTAAAACTGCTTTTTTTTACCTGTAACATATTAAAATATTCTTCTTTTGATGTTTCCTCGAGGAATATTGAGTTGTGCATGAGAAAATTGTGCACAAAAATACATCGGTTTTATTATACGTGGACCCTATTTGATGCTTAAACTTTCTTTTTCTCGCTGATTGTGTCATGTATAGTATTCCAAAATTGTACGAATAGTACTGTACCTATTTATGAATTTTAAATGCAACGAAAAAAGGACATTCCTTGGACTGGTAAGCTGAAAGAATCTTTCTGATGAAATTGCCCCTAGTTTTTTCCCTCTACAACGTAATGTAACGTAACCATGTTAAGACGATGTTGAGTAAGGAAAGTGATTGGATTATAGGTCTGTGTCCGGCACAAAACTGATTTAAAAGTTTTCCAAAAGCAATATTCATTTTTAAATGTGATACAAATTTGGCGGAATTCTTAATGAATCCACAGAATTAAACGAAGTTTTGGAGTTTCAAAGAGTTCGGAAAATGTAGAATAGATTCTGAACATGATGAAAACAGTGAAGGTGAATGACCAGTGAAAATAAAAAAAAATATATAGGATTGGTCCAAGGATATTTTAATTACCACTGCATCTCTGTAAAACATTCGTGGCATGATTTTGATATGACTGCGTTCTGTGTCAAACTCTGAACTAAATCGTAAATTTGACAAATAAGCAATTGAGCCGAAGATAAGTGATTTGGTGTAACCTGTGATTCACGGTTACAGCAGTCATCAGGAACTCAGACATAGTATTCAGCAAAAACCAATCCTGAGATATTCAATTGAGAAAGACATCATCCATTCTCACATTCTCAAATGGTTGAAAACTAGGTTGAAAGCTGCAGAAGAATATGGATCATTATGGCAAGTTGCTGATGGATGAAAAATAATAAGTATATTCGCGCAGGAACGAAAGTATCTGAAAGCTCGAGAATTTTTAATGCTTTCATCTTCCTGTTTTGCAGACTGGTGCTGACTTACCATGACCAACTGACACAAGTCTTTTGGGATGGCTCAGGACAAATATTCGATGGCGCACATCTCCAAGCCGGAATGCAATCAAGTGCAGCTCCCAGTGATTCCCAAACCCGTTTTGCACCAATAACCAACATCATACCTTTCCCTGAATATGTGCCAGAAACTCGTTCCAATGTCAATTCCTTGTTTAGGAACAGCATGGCGCTGATCGAAATCTCACAGCCATTCGTCTTAGGATCAGCTGTGATGAGCATAAAAATTGCAACAGATGTGGGTCCTGACTTGCAGTCCACTCCATTGGACGGC